TGCTGTTTAAAATACTTTATGTTTGTCTCTTTATTTTTATTACGATGACTTTTGACGTATTTCGTTTATTTTAGTTAATTTGAACCGTTTTTTTAATCAACTCTGAGTAATGCAATTTCCCCTATCCTCGTATTCATTTTTTAACAATTTGATTGTGTTATTCTATTCCATGTTAATGTTCATATCTGCAGACGCACATGTTTTTCCAAGCATACGTCCGTTCTTATGCAATCACAGACACACCAATTACACGCACATGCCTGCAACTATAAAGCTGCTTGCACAGACTATTACCCACGATCGCACATACGTGGAACCCTTCAAAAACACGTTCCCACATACACGCACACACCTTCACACATACTCGCACACACTAACATGTATAAAAAAACTGTGGCATAGTAAATAAATCAACCAAATAAATACTCATACGGGTCTAATTCAACCAAATAACTTCCCGGGCACAAACCTACCAACATACACGCACACACTAGTGTCTATAAAAAATACGTTTCATAGCAGACCAACAAATAATACCAAATAACTTCCCGGGCACAAACCTACCAACGTACACGCACAACCCTTTATAATAATTATTTTGGATACAAAATGAAGAACAAACAAATTTCAAACCCCCCTAATCTACAACATGCACATGCCAATTTAAACACACGCACACACCAATAGTCTACCCATTACCCAACTGCTTTTGCATTCTTCTTTTTAATAAAAATCAGAACAAAAATCCCCCAATTGCTTCGTGTTTCCGTTACATATTAATTGTTCAAAATACATCAACAAAACACAATAACAAATGCATTAAATGTTCGTTCACACATGCCATAGGTCCACAATGCACAAACCGACGTTCAAAATCAATTTACAATTCAAAACAGCATCACCTACCCGTGTTAGTTCTCGCCATCTTCAACCTCTGGACTGTTTGTGTGCTTCAACACAGTTTGTTCACGGTTTGACTGTTACACCTACTAACAACAATGGATTACTACTACTTTCCATTAATTCTGTGGTCTTTCATTATGTCAAAGATTCCAATATATTTTTAACCAAAATTAACACATTAATACAATTAATTTTAAACCTCCCCATTTAAAATATGTCGTTATTTATATTATATTCCTCATTCAATCTCATCTATCCATTACAAATTAACAAATGGATGGGATGTCTACGCACATACTTTTTGTTGTCTACGCATCATCCCGCCATCATATCGGTCAAACAAATAACCTTGTACGCACCCACCTGAACATGAACACGCTACGCTCGTCAATGGACTACTACTTCGTCCAACAACCACACCCCCCCTCCCACACCCCACCGGAGGAAAAAACCCATTCTTCAGTATATGCATAGACGGTGACATGTAAATGCACTTACCGGTACTGATACTAGCCATTTGAGAAATGTGCTCCAGCTTTGTAATAATTGAAACTATTAATTTCCATCCACAAATCCCTAAAATAATGCTTCACATTCCAATAATATTATGTCCATAAATAAATTAGAATTACAATTACTAATATAACCTTTACATTGGTAAATGTCCTTAATTACTACCTTAATTTATTATAATCTCAACCATTGATGGAAATTGAATCAATGGATATTAGGAGACCTCATGGTCTCATCTATTAGAGGGGGTGCACCGGATTCGAAGCCTATATATATATATATATATATATATATATATATATATATATATATATATATATATACTGTTGGAAGACATTTATAGAAAAGAGTTTTTTCTTATTTAATTTTCCCTAATTTTGTGGTCAAACCCCACTACCTTGTCAGGTTGCTGCATGGATCATTCAACCCATGAATTTAGCCCATGATGATCCCTTTTTTCGGTGCTGTGTGTGGCTTTGCAAGAGGAATGTCAGTGGCATTCTACACTATAAATTGCCAACTTGTTATACACAGAGAGAACAGGCCAAAAGCACTACTATATTTCCTACAACCTTCAACCTTTGTGTCTGAGCATATACATATTCTTACGCTGTGTTACCGGTCGGAAGCTACTCGAGTGTTGTCGAGAAATAGCTTTTAAAGGAGTGTTCTTGCGAACACGACACAGTTCTTTTGCTATCATCTACTACCTGCTTTCATCTCCTTGCATTGTCGACATTGTTCCCTGAAAATACAACAATTAAAAGCTATTTCCCAAACAATGTTGACATATGTGTATTCCAGTACATCCACCTTTGGAAATATATTCTAGCAGTGTGTATGTTTGTGCACTTTCCCAGGTTGCAGTTCGTGTCACCAGCCTTCAACATTTGTGGCAGCAAATGATATACGAGATTGATATTGTTCATAGGCAGAGAATCCATGCTGATAAAAGAAAAATGTTCTCCGTTTACCAAGCAAGAACAAGGGAAGATTTGTTGGTTTATGGAGGCTAAGAAGATTTTGCCGAACCACAGCTAAGTATTATATATTAATGCCTCCTCCTTGAACTTGTGTATTAATGCTTTAATTTACGTATGTTTATTCGTATAAGGCATATATATATGGCATATGGGTCTTTGCAGCACTTGGATAAATATTAGGAAAAAAAATGTTTGTGTTTGGATAATATGTTATGCATATATGTTATTGGCACATGCCTTTAGAAATATGAAGCATGTACTTGATTTATTTTATAATGGTTACAAGCACATATCAAAGGCTAGTTTAAATTGTTAAAATTAGTGACAAATTTGGTTGAAATATATTCCACTATTGAATGTGTATTAACCAAGTGCGAAGTTGATATAAAGTTTGTATAGCTCAGTCTTCTAAGGAGTCAATGTTGGGTACTAAAGACGAGTATGGGTACGTAAGAGGTCAAGTTAATATCTGGAGCCTTGCTGAACAAGGCTAGAATTAATTTAGTTTTTGAGTGGTCTAAATAATAATAATGTTTCTTCTACTTATATCTCAGTCTCAGTAAATGTTTGGCATGGTAGGTTATGGCATGTTGGCTTAAACTGCTTAAATGGATTTAAAAACATGGATTCATTGCCGAATTTGATTACTGATTCAGATTCTCAATGTGAAATATGTGTTGAAACTAAGTTTGCTAGAAAATCATTTTATGTTGTTAATACTTGTGTTACAACAATTTTAGAATTGATTCATTCCGATTTAGCAGATTTTAAAAGTACTGAGAATAGATGTGGAAAGCGTTATTATGTCACCTTTATCGATGATTTTTCTCACTTTACAAAAATTTATTTGTCAAGAACAAAAGATGAAGCTGAACAAAAATTCTTGATTTTTAAATCAGAAGTAGAGAATCAGACAAAAAGATTAAAATGCTCCATTCTGATAGGGGAGGAGAATATGAAACAAAGTTTCTGAAAAATTTGTGTGAAAATTCTGGTATCATTCATAAAGTAACTGCTCCCTATGGGGGGATGTTGTGTTAACAGCAAATCATATTCTAAACAAAGTACCTTATAAAGGGTTTGATAAAACCCTTTATGAGTTGGGGAAAGGGCATGCCCCAACCTCAATTACCTTAAAGTGTGGGGGTGCCTAGCAAATGTGGGACTTTCGTCCTTCAAAAGACTTAACTTAGGGTCTAAAACCTTAGATGTCGTGTTTTTGGGATATGTTGAGAATAGCGCTGCATGTATGTTTATGTGTTTAAAGAAGCGCTCAATCTGTGAGTCTAGAGATGTCATTTTCTTCGAACACATATTCCACTTAAAAGAGGCTCACAAATTATCTGGAAGTAGTTATCCTTGAAGTGGTCAATCACACCTTCCTTTGACTAGTGTTTTTGATGATTCTTGTGAGCTTAGAAGAAGCAAAAGGCTTAGAACTGAGAAAAGTTTTGGTTCCGATTTTATAACATTTATAACTGAACTGCAAGACATAAATGAGATATGTGATAATTTGATTTTGTCAATTGTTCTAGAAGAAGAGCCAAAAAAACCTTTAACGATGCTATGCGATCTGTTGATTGCATGTTGTGGAAAGAAGCCATCGAAAGTGATATTTGACTCAATTAAGTTAAATATCACTTGGGAGTTGGTAAATCTCTCAAAAGGATGTAAACCAGTTGGTTGTAAATGGATCTTTGAAAGGTAAGACCATATGGGTCTATTGAAAGATTTAAAGCTAGCTAGGCTTGTAGCTAAAGGCTACACATAGAGATTTGGTGAAGATTACTTTGATAATTATTCACCCGTAACAAAAATCTCAACCATTCATGTTCTGTTTGCCTTAGCTTTAATGCACACGTTGCTAATCGGTCATATGCTTGCTTATATTTGAAAGAAATTGAGTCTACAGTTGTGATTATTTGCCTCTATGTAGATGATATGTTGATATTTAGTCCAAACATTGACACAATCAATGAAACTAAAAGGACTTTATGTACCAAGAGTTTGATATGAAGGATCTGGGAGAAGTCGACGTGATTCTTGGGGTAAAAGTCACAAAAACTATCGAGGGTTATCATCTGGCTCAAAGCCATTATACAGAAAAACTATTAAAGAAGTTTAATAGTTTTGATGTGACCCCGGCTAAAACCCCTTATGATTCAAGTATCAAACTATTTAAGAACATAGAGGAAGGTACATTTCAAGGAGAATATGCCAAAATAATTGGAAGTTTAATGTTTCTAATGAATTATACTAGGCCTGATATTGCCTTTGCAGTGAATAGACTCAATCGCTATACTCACAACCCAGGTAGTGCACGTTGGAACGCACTGAACCGAGTACTTCTGTATCTCAGGGGCACTTTGGATTGGGGTCTTGACGATGTAGGATTCCCAGCGATGATGGAAGGGTTCTGTGATGCGAATTGGGTCAATGAGATGATGATGCTAGCTCCACTGGTGGATACGTGTTCACTATGTGCGAAGCAGCAGTGTCATGGAAATCAACTAAAAATTCGTGTATAGCTAGATCAATTATGGAAGCAAAATTCATAGCTCTTGATCTAGCAAGCCAAGAAGCAGAATGGTTGAGAAACTATTAGCGGATATACCATTGTGGGGGTGTCCAACACCTTCTGTGCCGTTGCATTGTGATTCGCAAACGGCTATTTGTGTTGCGAAGAAGTGCCTATAATGGAAAGAGAAGGTATATAAAAGTCAGACATGAGTCTGTATGACAATTGATTATGACCGGAGTAATCATGATAGATGGAATATGTGAAATTTGAGAATATTGCAGATCCTCTTACAAAAGGGCTAAACCGAAAAGTCATCCTTGAGACGTCAAGGGAGATGGGCTTGAAATCGGTGAGGTGAGGAATTCATGACGAGGTCGTGGAAAGACTCACATAAGTGATTTGATATTAAATTAGCCCTAAATAACTCTGTAGCTCTAAAAGAGTGGTCTATGTTGAGATAGACTTGTCAGAGTAAGATTTAATGGTCAGAGTCCTGACCTGCGTGTATTAAAAGAAAAGTTGGTGTGTGCATCTGAGTTCAAAATTTATCCAAACGACGAGTTCAAGACTTGTTTCACTCTCGGGAGGAAAATTACTCAATGTCACTACGTGTCAGTTCAAGATTTTAAATCACTGACATTAAGACCAACTTTGTGTGTTGCTCAGATAATATTCGTGTCACCTTATCTATAAATGTGTGGGGGATTGTTGGAAGACATTTATAGAAAAGAGTTTTTCTTATTTAATTTTCCCTAATTTTGTGGTCAAACCCCACTACCTTGTCAGTTGCTGCATGGATCATTCATCCCATGAATTTAGCCCATGATGATCCCTTTTTTCGGTGCTGTGTGTGGCTTTGCAAGAGGAATGTCAGTGGCATTCTACACTATAAATTGCCAACTTGTTATACACAGAGAGAACAGACCAAAAGCACTACTATATTTCCTACAACCTTCAACCTTTGTGTCTGAGCATATACATATTCTTACGCTGTGTTACCGGTCGGAAGCTACTCGAGTGTTGTCGAGAAATAGCTTTTAAGGGAGTGTTCTTGCGAACACGACACAGTTCTTTTGCTATCATCTACTACCTGCCTTCATCTCCTTGCATTGTCGACATTGTTCCCTGACAATACAACATATATATATATATATATATATATATATATATATATATATATATATATATATATATATATATATATATATGGCCTTTTTAACTGTGTATTCATTTTAACTGAATTGCATATTCAAATCAATAAAAAGGCAGACACAAGAAAATCTGCATGTTTGATGAGGTCAAGAGAATCGGGAGCACAGAAACGAGTTCTTGAAAAATCCCGCAAAATCTCCATAACTCTTGCAAAGATAAAAGCATGGAAGCTAAGTGAACTTACCCTGCATCCAGTATCAATGGCAGTCCTGATCATCCCATCTTTCATACCGGGAATCAAATCTACCATTGAATCAACACACTTGGTAACTCCATCGGGAAACATGGTCCCTCCTCCGGGAAAAAGGAACTTCACCCCGTCCTTCTGTAACCAATGTTGATTAGATTTTTCCTTATTAATCCAATCATATGGAAAATTCCTAAACCAGTTCCAAATAGAAACTGATGTCAGATCGGAGGGTGGAAATTCAATTCAACCAAACATAAAAAAAACACCAATCCACAACACCGAATAAGGCCATACATGTACCAACATTCGCTTTTGCTCTTTGGCCATCTGATAGGCGGTTGATAGCCATCCGGTGGAGGGACCAAACACTCCATTATTTCAAATGGTGGCGGGCAGTGGCGTTCCATGAATGTTAGTCTTTGTAGACCGTATTTCTTCCACCTCTGTAATATGACCCGCATTTTATTCAAAGATACAATTGTAGTTAGGCTAATACCACGAGACTGGCTTCGAAAATACCTTGGGATCAGTGCAGGGAGTGTAATCCTGAAAGTCGGGACTGCACTCAGGAAACGAAGTGTCCTCGGTTTGCAGTAAGCCACCACCGGCAGTGCCCTCGAAAGATTCAGCCCCCTTGGATACATCATTAGTTGCACAACCGTCCTTCTCAGAATAGAATTGATATATAAATGGCGCAAATGCACGGTATGGACCTATTCTTAGTTTCATCAGATTCATATATATCCCAAAAAGGAAGGAAGCTGTTCTTCTGAGCAGATGAAAACGCTCAAATTATTCGAGAAGTTGAACATGGAGGACGTGCAGATCAGAGAATGCCTTGGAAGAGATAATTATAAACTAAGCAAGTGAAATGACTATTTTACCCCTAAAACTAACATCCACTTAACCTTCATTTGACGGAATGACTAACATTGGAAAGAATTCGAAAGTCAAGTGTCTAAATTGTCCAAATTAAAAGTCAAGGATCAATTGTGGAAAATCAACATAGTCGGACGATCCTAGAATTAACTCAAAAATAGTATTGACATGATGCCCTATGCATGCATACTATAAAACAGAAAATAAAGTTTCCTCAATAAATGAACTACACAATCTTAAGTTGATTATGAGAGAGGGAATACCCAGAAAAATTATCCAATTAATTCTCTTCTTAATTATATATAGCTAAACAGAGCAACAAGTCTTGAGAAGCTTTATATTAAAAAGCAGTCCAGAATCATCATTTTTCAGCATAATCACTTGAGAGAAAAAAAAAAAAAAAAACATAGTGAGAGAGAGAATGTTAAAAGAGATCATACTTCTTGTAATGTGGAGCATCTCTATCAAAACGAGCAAGGGTCATTATTTTTTAAACGCAATAGAATGTCAGTTTTAAGTCTAACTTTTCAGCATTCTGATATGGTAAGCAATCAATTTTATATGCAAAATACTGTGATCCTATCTTGGCTGCATGAAAAAGCAGTATTGGGGGCAACCATTACTATACTTAATAATATTGAAGTGTTATTAGTAACACTGAAGTAGTTTGAAATTTTTTTGGTAGCACGGAAAAGCAGCACAAAAGATATTTAAGATAAGCTGACTTTGATATTTTCAACAATATTTTTTTATTACAGAAAAATAAATCATTGAGGTATTCTATGTAAGGAAGAAAATGTGAAGCAGAGATTTAGAACATCAAGATTTTGAGGTATGTTTGTTTTGACATTTTTGTGGCATCATGACATTTTTGTTGTTGGTTGATGAAACTTTTAGATTTTTATAGCAGCATGATAGCACCCTTGATCTTTCAGTACAAAAATAAACACAAGGGTAGAGGAATTGCTCTTCTACAATCTCAGCAGTTGCTATTGCAACCTCCATCGGTGGCTATTTTAGAACAAGACAATATGCAAATAAGAATGATACCTATGCAACAGAACCTTATGAGACGAGAGTTACATGATACTGATTCAAAGTGTACAATATCAACTGGTCCGAGCACAACTAATAGTCATATGGCAAGGGGACCATCAACGAGCAGTTCTGAACTAAACAGTCACAATAAGACCTTTATTCATCCTATTGGCACGTAAGTACTTTTGAAGTATTGTTGTGTATTTACTTTCGAAGTATCGTTTGTTTCTATTTGTTTCTAAATTTGTAATGCGTTGCAGATTCAAACCTTGTAGTGTGCACAGAAAAATTATGTCTTGCATTAAGAGAATATTCCCCGAGGCAGTCAGAAGTTTTAATATTGCTCCTCAACATCTTAAGGATGTTTGGTTTAATGAATTCAACGTAAAGCATGTTACATTTGGCATAATATCTCTATCTCTATCTTTATCTCTCTCTCTCTCTCTCTCTCTCTCTCTCTATATATATATATATATATATATATATATATATATATATATATATATATATATATATATATATATATATATATATATATATATAATGTTATTACCATTAATAAATAAATTGTTATACTTTTCTTTTGAATTAGTATTTTTCACCTATAAATACAAATTTATAATTCTTTTAATCCCTAGCCTCCCCATCATTTCTTTCCCCACATCGGTAGGGCTTTTCAGACTCGTTTCTCTGCTTTCTTTTCGTATGAATTTTTTACCTTTTTCTAACTATATTCCCTCGTACTTCAATATGTTTTGCAGTTTCTATCGTCTGGTATGAGCTTGAAGATACTTAAGGAGGCTCTACTTCAACAAAAGGAAATTGAGGAGGAAGAGCCTTGGTAACAGAACTCTAATGGTTTAGTTTTTATGGAAGATTGTAGAGATGCGATCGAGGATGATAACGACAGTAATTTTGTAAGATTTTCTGAAACTTAGAGTTAGTATGTTGACTTCGAGATTTGTTCATGCCATTCAAGTTTCTATGTTTTTTTTTTTTTTTAACAAGCAGCGTTAAAGGTTTACGTGGTTCACTAGGCAAAACAACAATCAAGCAAAAGCTAAAAAAACATAGTTAAAAAGACTAAATTGTTAGTTTTAAAAGTCATGGAGCGAAATTAACACCCCCCTAGAGTCATAGGACCAAAAGTGTAATTTGCTCATTTGTTAAATTAATAATAGTTCGTGCATCGCATAGGACACTTACTAGTTTGAAAAAAGGGATGCTAAAAGGCTATTTTTTGTTACAGAAATGACATGAATGAGATCCTAATGACGAGGATACTATTCGAATGTATTTGAGAAAATGGTTGCTAAATTGCTTGCTGACGCGTTAAGTGATGTGCGCAAAAGATTGGCATCAGGACATGAAGTACCAAGATGGATATCTGATCCTGTATTGACCCAATACCATCCCATATGGAACAACAATGAATTCAAGAAGATAAGTTTAATAGGAATCCAGATTGTGGATGAATAGGTCCATCATTACACTCTGCAGGTTCTACCCCTATCAGCGAACATATAAGAAGACTGGTAAGTTGTATACATTCAATTGATACAACATTCAAATAAAATTTATACTAAGTATTTTTTCTACTATTGTTGAGTAGAAAGAAAAGCTTAGAAAGGAACCTACTCATATAGAATTATTCAATGCTACACACAAACTTAAACAGGGAGGAGGATATGTATGCCAAAAAGCACAAGTAATTATAAGATTTCCTACTCATATAGAACTATTCAATACTACTTTGTTCAATCACTAAAGAGATTATCAATAATAGTGTAATTTTGATACGTGCTATTTCCCGAGTAAGTTGTGTAGTAGTTACTGAAGATGTTGCAGAGGTGTCGATTGATAACGAATCATAGATACTGCTATTGTTACTAAAATAGTTGCTCAAAATTAAAGGATGTACCGTGGATATTAAACTAAGGTAATTTTCTTCAGAAGTCTTGCATGAGCTTCTGAATATTTTCAAAATCAGTGATGCTATGAAATTGCATTTGCTAGCAGATTTTCTAATTACAGGTTGAAAGATTTATCCTTGTCAATCTTGACTACATTTAAACCAAATTAAATGATACTTGCAAGTGTGGTATGTGGTAATGTTGCAAAACTTTATAATAACGCATTACAAATGTGTGCCTGTGGTTTCTCATGAATTGTGTAGTTTATTGTCTTTCTTGTTTTTCATGTTTTTCATGTAGCATATTATTAAACAATTAAAATTGTGCCACAGAATAGATCTATTATGAAAAAGAGATATTTCTTTTTTTTTTTTTAGGAAACTATGACTCGCTTGAAGCAAACACAACCTGAAGTGACAGGAGTAGTTGTGTGGTTGGAGGCCACTGGTGGCGTGAAGAAAGGGGGTACGTTTCAGGATTTGCATTGGATACCGAACACTACTTCACCGAGGCTACGATACTCCAAAAATTAAAGATTGGGCCATCAACTTCACATGCATCTCGCAAAACTCGAATTAAGCAATTAGAGGATCAGAATCGAGTGATGCAACAATAGCACCAGGATATGCAAGAGCAAAACTGTAGTATTCGTGAGACTGTCTATAAAATGGAAGCAACATTTGCCCATTTTAGTGCACATCATAGTAATCATGATCCTAACTTGGATGGTATTCGCAGTAATAATCAGAGTCCTAACAACAATAGCTCCAATGATGATACACTATCCTCCTCCGATGATGATACACTATCTCCCACTCTGATCAAGATTACATAATGCATTATTTGAATGTTTTGAAAATGTATTTTGGATGGTGAAACAATTGCTACAATCTTATTCACATGTTTAACTAATGTTTTGACAAATGTGTTTTTTTGATGGTGAAACAATTGCTGCACCTTGATTTAAATGATTAACTAATGTTTGGTTTACTTAAATAGTTAATTACACGGTAGAATTTAATGTTGTGGTGTTGAAATTTGTATTATTGTAACAAGTCAAATTCATGTGATATTTGCAGAATTTTAAATTTTAATTTTTTCTATTAGTAAATCTTATCGACTACCCCTGGACGGTAATTCTGACCAATTACCGACCACCAATGGTAGGAAATACGCTCTCCTTATCCAATGAGGTGTTGTCTATGTTTCTAACATTCTCAAAGTCGGAATTTTCGACCACCTTGACTAGTAGACAGTAATATCGAGGGTCTTTTTTCTGAATCCATAGACTAGGCGGTAAGTTAGTCGAAAACTCTATTTCCAACAGGAAATCTTCCTTTTCCGACCACTTTTGAAAAAATTAATATTTTCAATAGTGGCTGATGGCGTGAGAACCCCGTGGGCTCGGGGCCCAAGAAGAAAGTAGATAAAGCCCAGACGAAGAAGAGAAGCCCAAGAAGAAAATGGAGCAAACCCAAAAGAGATACGGGTCAAACCGAGGAGTCGGCTCGGTCCAGAAGTCGGCGGCGAGTGTGAAATCGGCACGGGTATAGGGTCGGCCTAAAACTAGCCGTTAGCCCATTTACTACCCTATTATTACCCCACTTATTACCACTAGTCAATTATCTTATTATTATTATTATTATTATTATTATTATTATTATTATTATTATTCATAACCCCTAACATAAACACCTATTCACTACCCTCTTGAAACCACCCATAAATCCTCTACTAAATGCCCCAACGGACACTTTTTGAGGAGCTAGCTATAAGAAGGGGGGAAGACAAGAAGAAGTGGAGGATCCATTCACTCACTCATACACACATGGGAGGACTCTCCCAAGCACTCTTCCTACATACTTGAAGATTACTACCTCTCTCACACAACTACTCTCCCAAGAAGGC